GGGCTGCATAGGTCTAACCGAGAGCAAGACTTCATCATCTGTGCTCGGTGAGCATAGTTAATTCCTAATCAATGCAGTGGGATTGACTCCAATTAAGAGGTTCGTTTTCCTTTTGAATTCATGTTTCAGACAATCTAATGGTATTTCTTTAACCTTTATCATAGCAGGAAAGAGTCTTTCATCTGAGGTTATAGTTGAGCAATCTCTCTCCCTTGCTTTCCTAAATCTCTGTTAGTTGTTTGCCACCCAACAGCTATGAATCCCTGGTTTTTTTAGCACTTACTTTCCTTTTCTCCCACCCTCCAGGGAAATATTTTTGCTTAGAGAAAAAGATCATCCTACCTTCTTTCTTAGCAGCTTCCCCCAGACACATTAGTGTTTTCTGTCAAATGATCTCGATGTAATTTACAAATAATGGAGCTGGTTTATCAATGTTGCTCTCTTCTCATTGTGACAGAGGTACATAGTAACAACGTGCTATGTTTTAGAGAGGGGACATGCTGCAACCGCAGCACCCTTTTACAGAAGGTCCATCCAGATTCACATAAGGCATGCTTCTGGGCAGGCAAAAAAAGCGAACTGAGAAACTGTCCTTCTGTCAAAGGTCTACTTGGCATCTCAACCCTTGGACACGCAGGAAGCAACCCTTGATTATGTAGCCCTTGACAACTTGCAGCTCAAGACTGAAAGCAGAGCAGGAGATTTGGGAAGGCAGATGTAAAGATGGCATAGGGCTGCCTCACTCTCATTTTGCTCCTTGGCTGCCGTGCACACAGCCGCTTCTCAAGCATGATTTAGAGCAGCCTGGTCATGATCTCACCTAATTGTGTGGCTAACGGCTCCAAAATAGGACCCTGTGATCAAAATGTCCAGAAACATGAGGTCATGACATCAAAAGGCCAGTTCTGTGGTGGAAGTATGGCTTTCAGGTGCCGCTGCCTTCAAAGCTCAGCAGTAAAACAAAGGAGAAACCTATATTTGGGGACCTTCATGGAAAGCATTACCATTTGCTGTTCATCAGAGGTACCAAAGCAACTAACAAGTACAAAAGAAAAAAAAAAACAGAAAATTATCCAGCTCGTGAATGTAATAAGTTTCAGGAAAAAATACATTTTTTGCCATAGAGGTTAATTAAATAATTTAACTGGGAATGTCATTGCTGAGCTCTGCAATAACGTGCACAGAACTGCATGGACCTACAGTGGTAGCGAATGGCCAACTCTCCCAGGAAAGGTTTTGTTATCCTTATATTGCTTGACTTTTTTACACCACATCTGTGCTTGCTTCGTCATTCTGCCATCTGCTGTAACAAAATACAGGCAAAGCATTTCAGAAAACAACCCCTCCACACTTTAAAATGCTCCAACCCGGAGCACAGCCCTTTACTTCTCACAAGCTGTAGTGCTTATTATCCTCTCCTCCTCGTCCTCCTCCCTCAGCCCCCCCACCACATGCATGATGAATTACATACGCGTACCAAGCGTGGAGAACACAGAATCCCATTGATTTTGACACAATGTTTCTATTAAATGAAATGAACGTTTATGCGCTTTACTTCGCTGCGCAAATGCATTTGCTGAAAGGTCAGAAATAGCAGGTCATTATCATTAAATTTTTAATTTTGGAACTCCCAATCAGACTTGTTTCCTGTTTGGTATTGTCTGCAGATACACAATGTATGGCTGAGCAAAAGACTCTCATTGCTAAAGCATCAAAAAGAGTATGAGCAGAGTGGTTTCGAGCACACACTCTGTATAGTCCAGTCAAAGTTTCTTCCTGGTGCAGCCGCACAAATCTCTTGGTAGCAGTAAACTTGCTGCACAGACTTCATTCCTGAACACATGTTCAAAGGTGATAAAATAAATGCAGATGGTTTCCCAAAACCTCAGTGGAGCATTTTTTACTGTTACTAAATGGACTGTAAAAAAACTAGGGGAAAAATGGAGAAAATACGGTTTGACACAGACAGGCAATTTCAGAATAGCATTCAGTCGTTTGGGAGAAAAGCTAAATAAAATGTGTGTTTATAATGATCTATTGGCAAAACAATATTGACACAGCATCTGAGCTGCCTAATGGGAGTGAGTTTTAGAATACTCAAATTAAACTTGCTCTGCGAGCTGAATATTTTGCTTAATTACTTAACACACATACAAAAAAGTTGGATAGCAACTTTGAATTCATTGTGCCATGACCGAAGTTGACAATAAAACCATCCCCGGCTACAGTGTAAACAGGATTAGGCCTTAACAAATTTATTACAGGCTTTGTTTACAAACTTGTTACAAAATTATACAGCATCTTATTGTGTACACAGGATTTACAAGAACGCGTAACTGATGTGTGCCATTGCTCCGCTCTCTGGTTGAGATCTGCAGGTTTTTCTTCGCTCAGGGCCTGATCCAGCTTCCACTTGGAGAAGGTGAGAATTTTTCCATTGACTTTAGTGGAAACTGGATCAGATCCAGAGGGTAACACTTCCGTTCATTGTTATACTGGGGTGGGAAAGAGACAGCTGATCTAATAACCTTACGCACCACGCTTCTTTCTTGTTTAATGTGTTTCAGATGACGGGCATTGTATTTACTCTGATACATTTTTGCTGGCCACTTGTAAAATACTTGGTGCATTGGTAAAGTTAAGAGTCAAAGACCAGTTCCTGTTACTGGATTTACAGTGGAAAATGACAAATTGTTTTCTTTGAACCTATGAAGAATGAACCTCCCTTGATTTTCAGTGAGCAGAAATAAAGGCATTAGGATTGACTCTGATGTTTTTTACATTGCTATAAACCTACATTTTCTTGCCTGTCTTCAATAGAATTTCTCTGGATTTACAGTGATGTAAACAGGCATGGCATCCACACTGTATGAACAAGGTAGTTGCCAATTAAGGGGGGTCTGTAAGCAACAGGGACTAAGCAAGCTCAGTTAGTTTTCTTACTTCCTCTTCTCATATGGAGATAAACCTATCTGGCATACTGAAGCATGGAGATCTCTAAAGTTAATGATCCATGAAAATATCTGCTCTCAATTATTCACAGCATCTGAAAATGATCTTTATTTGGGAATTCAGGGTGTAAAATTGGGTTTTGAACTTGCAAAAATTTTCAGTGGGACAGGACTCTGAAAAATGTGCTTGTACTTCCAAACTGAAAAATTAATGGGTAGGGGTTATTTTTCCCCTGTTGAAACTTAAACTTTCCTACTAGTAAAACTAGAAAAACTTGTGTTGAGGATTTTTTTTTTTTTTAATGTTTGCCAAGGAAGGAGAATGCAGGAAAAATTCTAGTCAGATGTATCAGATACTGAGCTCCTTGTTATATTATATATTCTCTTTCCTTTTAACAATTGCCTTGGTATTGAACCTCTGAAGTTGTTATTGCTTGAAGCAAAGTTAGGGTTCAGTCCTGTGAGGTGGTGATATTTTCTGTGAGGTAAATACCCTGGTCTCATGTTGAAAATTGAGATGGTTCTCAAAACCTTTGTTTATGGCCTCCCTTGCAGAATTATACCTACACGATCCAGCGTGGCTTTCAGAGTCACTGCTATTCCAGTGCTTGGCCTCATGAGCAAGCTGTCCAGCTCCCCAGTGGTTTTACGATGTGTAACGCTCTCTGTAAGGGATTAGGGGAGACCACACAATTTGCTGCTTTTGATGACCTGTTGCAGATTTGAAGTTGGTTCTCCAGTAGTGAAAACTCTATGAACAAAGGCATCCTGCAACCTTGGTTTTGAGCGCTCTGATCATTGTCATTTGCGATGCTGAACATGCTACAACAGTGAAAGCCGTACTGTAAAAACCTAAGACCTGTAATGCTCTTTGAATGGCTGGCATTTTTCAGCCCTGACTGTGTGTTAAGATCTAGCTAGACACAGATAACATACGCAGTCCAATCTCCATTCTGTTGCTATCCATGACAAGACCCTCCTTTACTTTTATGGGAGTGGGATCCCATCCAGGGCATTATACAGCTAATGTATGATAGACTATCTCTTCAAGTAGTCTAATTATTACTGTCCCCAGTGGAGCTACATGACAATACAAAGAAGAGTCTGAGGTATATATATGCTAGTACATTTGTCTGTCCTAAGTAACAACTCACCTGTGTAATTGAAGAACTTCATTATACCTATAGACTACCTGGATTTTAGTCACCATACTGCTCAAAAAGATATATTATTTCATGTCCCTATGAAAGCTACCAGGTTTGTTGAGCAGTTCTACACATTTTTCCCTCTGTGAAAAATGGAGAATGGATTGCTGAGGAGAACAGCAGCTTTGGACGGGTGTGTGGCTTTGATATCCACGCCAGGATATCATATCTTTCTTTACTACAATTTGCAAGCCAAGGGCTCTTGTAATGTTAAGACACCACCAGCTTTGTTTCTATTTTAAAAACTCAGACAGAGAGGAACGATGCAACAATGCAAACAGAAGATAATTGATCCATGTGAGGAGGAAGAGGCTGATAACAATAAATAGTAAATTCCAAAGAAATCATCTTTTATGTAGTATATTAATGATCAGTTTAGATTGGTTCTTGGCTTCAGTAAGTTTCTGCTACAAATATTTTAGATTTTTTTCATATTTTTTCTACAACGAACTGGCAGCATTAGAAAGAGTTGCAAAACAAATGTGCTTCAAAAACATAAATGAAAGTTGGTGGATAATTAGCAGTCATTCTGAAATGCTAACAGAGGGAAAATGATCATTTCATTGGCAAAACTGGCATAATACACAGAAATTGTATTTTATAGCTACTTGATGCCTGTGATATTGACAGCATCTGCAGGCTACAACACGTATTTTGGTCCATTTTTGTTTTGGCGGTGAGGAGTCAACACTGCATCCAATTAAATATGAATGTATAGATTGGGGAATATAAATATGTACACAACTCTTGACATTGATCTGATTTTTAACAAGTTTACTAAATGACAGTCACTGGCTTGACAATACTGAATGAAAAATACTGATTTTACACAGATTTTACAGTAAGGTTACGGTATGCTGCTGACAAGCAGTGTCACAAACATAGTCTAAAAAAAACCCGGAGTTGCCCATAGCAGAGGCACACACCCTTTGCTCTTGTTTATTGAGCGAGAAAGCTTATATACTGTAGATTTGCTGAAGTTTAATAAATAAGGTCAACTTATAATATATAAAACAATATAAACATTTATATGCTACATGCATATCATATAATTTAAAGTAATAATTTATATAGCAAAGAGATGCAGATTTATGTTCTTCCTATTTTCCTTGATAACGCGCACACGCAGGAGGTGTCTATTCTTATCCATCTCCAGCCTACCAGTTTATTGTTTTCTGAAGTCAGTGCTCTAACGTAAGTTTGGGATGTCTTGCATTGGGAGTTCCAGTGCTTGTCATCAATGCCACGACAGCCATTTTTTACAGGCTTGGCTTCTTTACACCTTGTTTCATAAAAGTATTGCTTAACTGGAGAGTTGCCTGTTTTAATTTCTCCCAGCACAGTTACCTGGTGTCCTCTAATGTCGATGGCAGACGATTTGTCCGTGACCCATAAACTTTCACTGTCACAAACGGAATATTCCCCTCGGTGGCTCTTATGCTCTGCGTACCTTTTCCGCCGGGAGGTTCTGTTCACCACCACTGAATTTCCAATATAATCCTCCATGAGGTACAGCGGCGGTGGTTCCAGCGGTGTGTTGTCACTCAAGAGGACTCGGGGAGAGTTGTAGCGTCTCTGCTGCCTTAAGAGGTCTGTATCCATTGAGATAACTGGCTGGAAGTCTGATTTCACATTTTCGTCTCCATCCATGTCTTGCTGAGTGTCTGCTTTCTGCACTGTGTTTTGATAGTTTTCCTTAATATCTACCATCTGCTTAGAAAACTTGTTTTTCAAAATGTCTGCCTGAATAAGTTTAATAATAAGAGAATTTATTGAATCTTCTGGCAAACTCCTTTGATCCATGTTGGTAGATTGGATGCCACGAAGATAAGCGAGAAATATCACATAAAACAAGATGGACATCACCTTGTTCACCTGTAAGATCTGCAAAGAAACAGAAAGGCAACATTAAAACAATTATATAGGGAAGTTACTAGATGCTGTAGACATGAAAATTTTGTTTTTAACATGTCTTACATCTTCTGCACGTTATAGGTAAAGATAGGCCATGTGTTTCTTTTAAGATAATTTTTCATTATATTTATAATGAATGCAACTGTTTTCTGATTTTTTTTCCAGTATTTCGTCTATGTTTCATGCACTTTTCAGGATGACCTCACTTCCTCTTTCCATGTATAGTGGCAGATATGTCAGTTAGGTCCTTTCTCTAGGTAGCTACTCTTGGGATAGTATGTCCAAGTCTTGGCAGCAGAGAGAGGCCAAGTTACTTTCACAGAGTCTATTCTACAGAGTGGTTTAGTTTCAAAATTGCAAGATTAAGCAGAGTAGCAGATTATCTAATGGTGTAAAATGAAGAAGTTCTGACTTTGCTAAGTGTTGTCAATTTTTGTGTGTTGACAACTCATGGATCCCTCAAATTCCTATTCATCAAATGGCTTGTGTTTAACTTCACCCTAAGAGCATCACCATATACTGGGAAATAAATACTGTGTTTCAACAGCTCTTTCTCTCTCTTTCTCTCTCTGGTGCTATAAGGGAAAGTATTCTTGAAGGAAAAGGACGCAGTCAGGAAAGTGAGGTTTCTTATATTTTGAGCTTCAGAAAGCAGTAGTTAGACTTCTGTAATACAAGTGAGAAGTTCAGACGGATCCACAGACCATTTTGTACTGGTTGTTTGCAGGGTTGGGGCCTGGGTTTTTTGTTGTTTTTAATGAAGTTCCTTCATTACATTTATATGAAGTGGAACAAAACTGATTGCAGTTAGAAATATTCAAGGTCAGATGAAGGACCTCCCACCCACCCCGAAACTGAAGAATCCTGTTCAAAAAGATCAAAATGAACTCAAGATCAAGATTTTGAAAACTGGACATAAAAGCATGCTGCTTCTCTGTACTGTATTTTGCCATGAAGTGCTCTATATGCATTCTTGTAGTGTCCTTATAATTCTAGCTGCTGAGCATCTTCTAGAGGCTCATTTGTCATTTCTGGCTAAATCTTTCTGTCATCCTGTTTGTGTAGTTAAGAACTGTGAGCATTCGTCTAAGGAGGTGGTTTTTTCCTTGGGAATACCTGTATATTTTGTATTTGCACTTAGATTTAAATGAAATTATTTTCAATGTAAAATACTAAATCATGGAAGCAATCCATTACTTCAAAGCACACCTGTTTTAATGACATTGTTGCACAAGTAGCGGATTGAAGGAGAAAATATTAAACTCATGTTAGAGCACTCTCATGCCATGTGGGAAGCCCTGGCTGTAGTACTGCTCCAAGTGACTCAAAACAGTCTTGAACTTGATTCTTCTGCACCGCAAACATGTCCACTACGTGTCAGACCACTAGCACCCTGGGATGAAGACACAGAGTTAGAGAACACAGAACAGATGGAGCTGGAAGGATCCTTAGGAGACCATCTAGTCCAATGCCACTGCTCAAAGTAAGGTCAGCTAGAGCAGCTTGCACAGGGCTGTGCCCAGTCAGGTTTTAAATATCTCCATGGATGGACACTCTACAACCCCTCTAGGCAAGTTGTTCCAGTGTTCAACCACCCTCACAGTAAAAAAAAAAAAACCAAAACCCCAAACCAAACAAAAAAACCCAGCTCATGTTTCAGTATTTCCTACATCTCAATTTGTGCCCATTGCCTCTTGTCCTTTCTTGGGACACTCCTGAGAAAAGTCTGGCTCCATCTTTTTTACTCCCTCCCCACTTTGATAAGATCCCCCTGAGTCTTCTCTTCTCCAGGCCGAACAGCCCCAGCTCTCTCAGCCTTTCCTCATATGACAGATGCCCCAGCCCCTTAATCGCCTTTGTGGACTCAGTCCTATATGTCCATGTCTCTCCTGTACTGGGGAGCCCAGAACCGGACACGGCACAAGAGATGTGGCCTCACTAGTGCTGAGTTGAGGGGAAGGATCACCTCCCTCAACCTGCTGGTGACGCTCTGGGTACTCTGTTTTTCCCAGAAGAAATGGCAGAGAAATCAGACCTCTTAAACAGAAAATGTTCCACTTCTTCAAATCACCTTTTTCTGTTTAAGAAGGCAAATCATTTTCTATTCAAGAAGGCAAAGAAAAAAAGAAAAAAAGTTTTACTGGAGAATCCTCTATCTGCTCTAAGCAAAACTCCTTTTAGCAACAGTGAGTCCCCACTTCATAGTTTGGAACTGCAGCAAAATCAGAGCTACCCTCTGTGGATGTGTGATCTGTCCTTTTATGGACAAGAAATGTGTTTTCTCCATTCTCAGTTTGTCACAGTATGAGTTCACCTAAATCTAGACTGTTGCTTGCAGCAATGTTATGCTTTGGAAAAAAAAAAAAATCCAAGATTTTCAGTTACCATACAATTACTGTCATACCTAAACAAATACTAACTTAATGTAGATGGACCTCAGAGCCCAGACCGTGCTGTATAAAAAGACCTCTTCCTGTGCAATTTGGTCTTCTCTCAGTAAATTATGTCCTTTTAAAAACAGTAAGAATATTATAAACCAGATGTCATTCAGCAGATTTCTTACAGCGTTCAGAAGGGCTAACCCGCACGCAGTATGACACACAAGTCCATAGGATGGTGAGCAAAGCTCTGACAACGCTCAGCTCAAAAGCTGAAAGCATTATTCATGCCAACATGCAGCTGCATGTAATCACTGGTCTGCTTAGTTTCAAAACTAAGTGGCACTAGCAAAATACACAAGTTGGAGCAGGTGATGAGGTGGGAAAAGTAAGACTGGAGTTCCTGCAGACTCTCTTTAATGTCATGCTGCACACAGAAAGGAAGGGCTAGGGACCTCAGAATTAAAGCAGTTCAAATAAACTCTTTTTCTCATCCGTGGAAGAACCCCATTAATGGAAAAAAATGTTTAAAAGTATTTTTCTGAACCTAATGTAAAATGTCTTGTGGATTTGGTGGGAAGGGTGTTAAACTACTCTGAAATTTGACTTGTAGTTTGATTTGTACTTGGCAAAAGTAAAATGGTTCAGAACCAATCTTTACATTTTTCTGGAATGTTTTGGGGTACAAAATTTGGAAAGAAAATGCAAACACTTGATGAGATTACAGTTCTCAGGGAATTCCTCCAGGACAGTTCACCTAGGACGTTCATAAGTGGCATGTTCAGAAATTCCAGTCCATGACTTGAAATTGTAAGGCTGCCTGTGACGTCCAGCACCTCAGAATATGCCTAAGGCACTATTCTAGCTAGGAGAAATGGACATCACTGGGAAACTGCAGCTGGTTTATGGCCTTGGCTCTATTTTGAGTACAAAACACCTTAAAAGTGTATTGATTTGCAGGGCTGGGCAATAATGGTTTTGATAAATTGCTCTTTGCCCAAAATGGAACTTTGTGCCTGTCTAAATTGAGGATAATTTGCAGTTTGTACTTTTTATTTTCTTTCTTTTTTTTTTTTTTTTGTTAAACCAATACAAAGGAGAGAAAAATGTAAAACATCGAAATGTTTATGTTTTCATATTTTCAAAGCAAACCACTCTGATGTTTCTGGGCATGCTTCAAAAGTTACACAATGTAAATAACAAAACAGAAAAAGTGCTTACTCAGTGTAGCAAGTGAGTATATAGTGACTAAGGTATCCATAGAGGAGACTTGCATTCAGAGGCAAGATTTCAACAGAGGTATCCTGTCTAAGAGAAAACTGACCCAACTTCCAGACTCCTGGGGCCCAGGCTTGTATGGACCTTAGCAGAAGCTGCTTCAGCACAATCAACAATAGCTCCTTCTTCAGCCTTTTGGACAATGGTGTAAAAATCCCCCAAGAATTTAATCCCTCACATGAATTTTTCTGTTCTCTCATTAAAAGTTCTTAAAATTAAAATGATTAATTTCAGGTTAAAAGACAGATTTTGTTCAAGCCAAGCTTTTTCTAGTTAGCTGCATATTGTGAGATATTTTTGTTGTTCTTCAAGGTTCTTCTTGAAATTTTCTGCTTGTAAATCCCTGAAAAGGTTCATTTTAACTGTCTTTGTGGACTGTTTGCAGTCAAGTAAGTGTGATGAATGGACCTAGAAATGGACACTGTTCACACTTCTACAGGAAGTACAGACTAGATTGCTGTACTTGGGGCCTGGGTCTGGGTCCCAAGTAGGCATAGGCAAGCATTTCCCTGGTGACCTCAGAATAAGAGCACAGCCCAGCAGCATGCTCTCCAGTCCAAGTATCAGCTGAAGTAATGTTATTAGATACAAATAGAGAAGACCATAATTGGTGACTGCTTCTACTTCATTTCTGCTTGACATCTATTGGGCTACAGTATTAATGCTGGTACCTGTGCTCAGTTTCTGTTTCCACGGGCTGTCAGGTCAGCTGTGATACACAGCCTAGTCAACATTAAGTTGTATGATGCCACACGACTTAAATGGGTCTTCAGTATATATTGGATATAACAACACATCCATTTGAACCAGTATAATCATCTTACTGTGCAGTACCTACTACATACCTGTCCTAGACCCCATATGGTTGTAGAACAGTTCAGATAGTGTGAATCCAGAAGAACTGATCCAGCACTTTCTCTGGATTCACATCAAAAGGTACCCCTTGTTGGCCTATCTGTTTATGACAAACTCATCATTTGACTGGGGACTCAGTGGCTGGGCGTAATAATAGATTACTCGTCTCACTTTGTGCCTGTGCCACAAAGACAGTAGGCAGCTACCTAGTGTAGGCATTAGCAGCCTGACACGGTCTTGCTGCTGGGATATCCATTCTGTTTTCTGTCTCTCTCCTCTTCTATCACCCAAGTCCTTTTCTATTCCATATATTGGGAGTTCAGCAAGGGCTGCTGACATATTCCAGAAAGCTGTTTTTCCTGAGCTGCTGAGAAGCTTTGGAACAGCTCTGCTTTTGTGCTGTGCTATTCTGCGTGCCCTTCTAGATGTTGGGATGCACCTTTGATGCTTTGAGCTCTT